GTATAAGAAACCAAGAAAAAAACCTCCTATTTGATGGTCTTTTAAGAGTAAGTTGTCAGTTTTACAAATGCCTTCTACTAATAGATCCTGTCCCTTGCCTTTAAAGTCAGGACCAAATTCTATCATTTTGAGTGACACCACTTCCACATTGACTCAGAAGTTGAGCACAGACATAAGTAAAGGGCGTTAGAGAAGACAATGATTGCCAACACCTGAGGAGTACGTAGCTGGATAAAATTGAGAGATGGTGAGATAAACGCTGGCATGTTGTAATTCAGGAAGTGCGTGAGATCACTCAGGTGCAAGCTACTCAGGTTGCAGGCAAGAATGTTAAGCTGGCTAGTCTCAAATCTCTGCTGTGGGTTAGAGACCCAACCTTTAGATTGTTATGCCCCTGTTGATGGGGTAGTAGGTTCTAATTTGCATATCAAGGCATCTTTCTCCCACTCGTTTCCTCCTCTACCACTTCTTCAGGACCCAGTTTTTTTTTTTTTTTTTAAGATTTTATTTATTTATTCGAGAGGTAGAGTTATAGACAGTGAGAGGGAGAGGAGACAAAGAAAAGTCCTCCTTCCGCTGGTTCACGCCCCAAATGACCACAACAGCAGAAGCTGCGCCGATCTGAAACCAGGAGCCAGGAGCTTCTTCGGGGTCTTCCACATGGTTGCAAGGTCCCAAGCACTTGGGCCATCTTCTACTCTTTCCCAGGCCATAGCAGAGAGCTGGGTTGGAAGAGGAGCAGCCAGGACTAGAACCAGTGCCCATAGGGGATGCCGGCACCGCAAGTGGAGGATTAACCTACTGCACCACAGCACCAACCCCCCAGGAAACAGTTTTACAGCAGAGAAATCTGGACATTTCTTGATTCACCTGATTCTGCTTTTATGATTTCTTAGTGCCTTTCCTTCTTTCTTCTCTCTCTCTTTTTCTTTCTTTTCTTTTTTCTCTTTCTCTTTCCCTCCCCCCTCCCTCCCTCTCTTTCTCTCTCTCTCCCTCTTTTTTCTTTTAATTTTTTTTGAAAGAGTGACAGAGAAAGTGGGAGACAGAAACAGCAACAAAGAGATTTCTCCATCTGCTGGTTCACTCACCAAATGGCCACAACATCCAGGGCTAGGCCAGCTGAGACCAGGAGCCAGGAGCCTCCTCCAGATCTTCCACATGGGTGCAAGGGCCCAAGGATTAGGGCCATCTTCTGTTGTTTTCCTATATGCATTATCAGGGAGCTGGATGGGAAGTGGAGCAGTTGGGACTTTAACAGGTGCCCATATAGGATGCCAGTGCTTGTAAGAAGCAGCTTATCCTGCTGGGCCACAGTGCCGACCCCAACTGCAACATTTTTTGAGCCTCAGGAACAAGAGTGTGCACATGGCCATATCTCGACCCTTCCTACCTCCCGAGTCCTAAGCCGTAGTGGTCAAGACCCACTAATAGGCCAAAAAAAAAAAACAGAGTAAGCAGAGGGCATCCTTGCCCACTACACTCAATAAACTGCTAAAGAATCCAGAAACTCAGGGCCAGTGTTGTACTGGGTAAGTATACTGGGTAAGGCTGCCGCCTGCAGTGCTGGCATCCCATTTGGGCGCCGGTTCGAGTCCCAGCTGCTCTACTTCCGATCTGGCTTGCTGCTATGGCCTGGGAAAGCAGTAGAAGATGGCCCAAGTCCTTGGGCCCTTGTACCCATGTGGGAGACCTGGAGGAGACTCCTGGCTCCTGGCTTTGGATCGGCGCAGCTCCAGCCATTGCAGCCAACTGAGGAGTGAACCAGCAGATGGAAGACCTCTCTCTATCTCTTTGCCTCTCCTCTCTGTGTAATTCTGACTTTCAAGTAAATAAATAAATTAAAAAAAAAGAATCTAGGAACTCATTTGTGCCAGTTACAGAGGTTCCTACATTCTTATTGCACTAGGAAGAGACTGTCCTAGCCACATGACTCTCATTTGTTCAAAAAATGCAAAGCCCACATGCAGAAACATAAAGACATGAGAGAGCCCACTCATCATGAGAACTTGGGAAAAAAACAGTTGCTTAAAGTGTTGCCAGGAACAAGGAGCAGCAGGTGCTCAGGAGATGGAGCAATACTAGCGAGCAGCAATGAGTCGACTGTTCAGGTAATTCTGATTCAGAGGGAAAGCAGATGAAGTGGATTCTGAGAGCAGAGTGCTTCTACAGAGATGTGGGTAACACCAGCGTCCCCTGCGTGGGCCACTTGGATATCACAGCAACCTGCAGAGCACGTGAAGGGAAGAATTTTTCCAGTGCCAGCCTCAGACTTGTTTGTTCCTTAGGACTCAGCAAGAAATCACAACACAGAGAAAATTACTCATGGGGACAGTTCGACTCAAGGGATCTCTTCAGTTCTGGGTACAATGCAGCTTCCTCTAAAACCAAACAATATGAAAACCCCTCTTGACCAGAAGGGACAAGGTTGGCCAGCAAAGAGCTGTCCAGCGAGCCCGAAGGTGGCATTCTGGAGCCTCTGGCAGGACTTCCCACTTTCCTGGCTTTGTGCCCTTCAACATTGGCCTCCGTTCTTTCCCTCTGCATCAGTGCTGGTCCCCAAATTTGCAGCATTAAAATTTACTAATTTACACTCTGCAAGTTGTCAGAAAAAAGTCAATTCTCTTCTTTAATTTTGATCACATTAAGACATATTTATTTTGCCCATAAATAACTGTCAAGTTTTATTTTGTAAGAAATTCAAAATGAGAAAGTAAGAAAATCTTATGTGTTGAAAATTATGGGAAAAATGATACAGCCCCTTTACCTGTTGTTTTGTTTTTTCTTTTTTCGTTTTTTAAGATTTATTTATTTATCCAAAAGGCAGAGAGAGAGAAGGAGAGACAGAGACAGATCTCCCATCTGCTGGTTCACTCCTCAAATGGCCTTAACAGCCCAGGCTAGGCTAGGCCTATGTCAGCTTCATCTGTGTCTCCCACATGGATGGTAGGGTCACAAAAACTTAGGCCATCTTCCACTGCTTTCCCAGGGTATTAGCAGGGAGCTGGGCCAGAAGTGGAACAGTCAGGACTTGAACTGGTGCCCATATGGCTTGCTGGCATCACGGGTGGTGACTTTATCTGCTATGCCACATTGTAGGCCTCAGCTTGTCCCTTTCTTCCCTCGGTTTGTATTAACCCCAGGATGGAAAGTAACACAAAACAGTAAGACAAACCTTGGCCAATAACTACTATATAAAAAAGAAGTTATAAAAATTGTCATTGTTTTTTAAATATAAAATGAAAAAAAAGGAAAGGAAAGAAGGTCGCTTGTTCCTTTCATGTAAACTTCTAATGAAAGACAATGTCATCTGTGACTGACTCTCCAGCTCCGAAACTCCTGGGTCATCAAGTATTCGTACTTTAAGGAACAGAGTAGAGCATTAAAAGTTGTGGTTGTCAAAATAGAAACCACTTGGGCCGGCGCCGCGGCTCACTAGGCTAATCCTCTGCCTTGCGGCGCCAGCACACCGGGTTCTAGTCCCGGTCGGGGTGCCGGATTCTGTCCCAGTTGCCCCTCTTCCAGGCCAGCTCTCTGCTGTGGCCCGGGAGTGCAGTGGAGGATGGCCCAAGTCCTTGGGCCCTGCACCCCATGGGAGACCAGGATAAGTACCTGGCTCCTGCCATTGGATCAGCGCGGTGCGCCGGCTGCAGCGCGCCGGCCGCAGCAGCCATTGGAGGGTGAACCAATGGCAAAGGAAGACCTTTCTCTCTGTCTCTCTCTCTCTCTCTCACTGTCCACTCTGCCTGTCAAAAAAAAAAAAAAAAAAAAAAAAAAAAAAAGAAAGAAACCACTTGATCCCTGAAGGAAAAATTATTACAGTACCACAATTCCTCCCACCTACTTAGACAAAACAAACTTTCACTCTTGGCATCTGAGGGCTGTTGACATTTTTGATAACCAGGGAAAGTTGGCCAGGTGAGGAGGAGGAGGTGAACTTTGATATCCTGAGTTTTTCACACAAGCACTCGGAGGTTTACAAGATTGGAAGTTTGGGAAGTTTATCATTTTTACAATGAAGAAATAAGATCCTCTTCAGTAGAGGAGTTCGAAGGTCACCAGGTTATGGTGAGCCTGTCCTCTGGGAATGAACCTTGGAGGAGCTCGGGGTGAAGTCTATCATTCCAGAGGAGAGTGAGGGTTTTGCCAGATGTGATGAGTTCCTTCTGAGTGCTGGGCAAGTGGTATCTTGGAATTACAATTTCCATTCCCTTGTGCACATGGGAAGAACCAGGATTCCTTCTGAGAGTGTTGCCAAAAGCCTAAGGAACGTTGGAGATCTGTAATAAGGAGACAGTGGAAAGACTGGACAGCGTCTACATCAGTACTGACCTTGCAGCCCTGTTAAAGCATAATCACACAGACCTATGTGAATATGCTTTTAAATGAAGAGAAACATTAGAGGAACCCACTAGCTAATAAACAGCAGGTGCATCAGTGATAAAAACAGCTACTAAAAAAAAAGAATCTCCATTCTAGAGTTGAATTGTCACAGATGATCTGCGAATTTGTTAAACATATTTTCTAGGGTCAAAGGAGCCATACTTCTGTGTAAAGTAAGGAGGAAGGTAAAATGGATTCTAGGATAAGTTTAAAACGTAGATCCAGAACAAATAACAGCAATATTTTTATGGGAAAAAAAAATGCCTGTATGTACAATTACTCACATACATATACACGTTTCTGATTTTGCAACAAAGATGTTTTACATTTAATTGAGTGAAATTTATGTAGATGAGCATATTTTTAATTTACTGGGAAAATTAATCTTCTACTTGAAAAATTCGTGGTTTAGTGTGATGTCATCTTCTTAGGCCATAAGAAAATACACAAATGAAAACAAAAAGGGAAAGTGAAAGTACAGATAGAGAAATGTTCAGAAAATGAAAATCTTTCCTGTATGATATAAAAGCCATGCACAGCCAGAATGCCTTCAGAGAACCTAGGGTCCAAGGTTCACCCAGACCCCAGCCCAGCCAGGACAGCAGCAGCCTCATTTCCCCATGGCCCAGCTACTCCCTCTGCTGACGGCCCTGGTGCTGTGCAGCTATGGCCCTGTTGGATCTCTGGGCTGTGACCTGCCTCACAACTCTGCCCCTCTGAGCAGGACCACCTTGGTGCTTCTGGACCAGATGAGGAGGGTCTCCCCTGTCTTGTGTCTCAAGGACAGAAGAGACTTCCAGTTCCCGCGGGAGGTGGTGAACGGCAGCCAGTTCCAGAAGCACCAGGCCGTGTCTGTCCTGCACGAGATGCTGCAGCAGATCTTCAACCTGCTCCACACAGCGCACTCCTCTGCTGCCTGGAACAACACCCTCCTGGAGGAACTGAATGCTGCACTTCATCAGCAGCTGCAAGGCCTGGAGACCTGCTTGGTACAGGCCATGGGAGAGGAAGACTCTGTCCTGACGGCTGACAGCCCAACGCTGATGCTGAAGAGGTACTTCCAGAGAATCCGTCTCTACCTGGACGAGAAGAAACACAGTGGCTGTGCCTGGGAACTCGTCAGAATGGAGATCAGGAGAGCCTTCTCCTCAACAGCAGACTTGCAGGAAAGCTTAAGAAGCAAGGATGGAGACCTGGCGTCATCCTGAGATGGTTCTCATTGACTAATTCCCACATCCCATTTTCACACGTGTCCTTGGTCATTTCAAAAGGCTTGTTTCTGCTTTAGTCCAAAGTTACTGAACTAAATTTATCCAGTACTTTGTAAATATATTAAGTAAGTTTATGTGAAGAAATGTTCTCTAGTTCTATCAGTTCTTCAGAGAAAGCTTCCCTGATTTATTTATTTATTTATTTATTTTCATTCTTTTTTACATGTATACTAGTTGTAATATTTATTTTACATATAATAACATGTCATCTTTACATTGTGTTAAAACTTACAAAATGTTTCCAATCAATATTAACTTTGTATTTTGTTTTTATTAAATTCTTATGAACAAAACATCTTGTTTATTTATTCTGAAAATGAAATCAATAAACTTTTATAAATTGTACTGGTCAGCTTTTATTTACTACACTGAAGTATCCTGGAGAAGCCAATTTTGTAAAGAGAAATTATTTATTTTGGTTCATAAATTTTGCATTCACATTGCTTTGACCTTTGGTGATTTTTTTGCTGCTACAGCACTGAGATGACCCATAGCACCCTGTGGCAAGAAGGAGAGTGAGGGTTTGTCTGTCCCTTTAAAATCACCATATTTGGAACATGGCACCTGACCCAACAGTCTTCCCAAAGCCCACCCTTGAATCATCATACTTGGATTAACCTTCTACCCTTGTTGTACCATTAACTCTAGACTCTGTGGGTAAAATTTTTAACCCATGGGCCCTTGGCAGACACTTAAACTAATATCTAAACCATAGCAGGAACCAAAGTGAAGAAAGGATGATAAAATACATCAATATATACATAAATTGGGTTAAGTGGCAAATAATGGAATTTCCTTCAAAAAATATAGGCAGGTGACTATAGCAAACAGTTCCTGCTGTGTTGAAACTCCTAGTCTTGGGCATGGTGTTGTGTCATAGTGGGCTAAGCTGCCACCTGCAATTCTGGCATCCCATATTGGTGCAGGTTCAAGTCCTGGCTGCTGCCCTTCCAATCCAGCCCCTGCTAATGCACATGGGAAAGCAGCAGAAGGTAGCCCAAGTGCTTGGGCCTCTGCACCCATTGGGGAGGCTAGGAAGAAACTCCTAGCTCCTGGCTCTTGTTTGGCCCAGCCCTGGCAGTTGTAGCCATTTGGGGAGTGAACTAGTGGATAGAAAATCTCCCTATCTTCCTCTCTGTTTCTGTAATTCTGCCTTTCAAATAAATAAAATAAATTTTTTCTTTGTTTTAAAGAAACTCCTAGTCTTACAAGAAAGGAGACAGAAAATGCCTACTAATGTATATGTTATTTCAACTCTATTAAATACTACAAGGAGAGGCAAACAGAAAGCATCTCCTGACACCAGAAGCATTGGGGATGAATGATTCTTAGAAGGAAAAACATACTAAAAGTCCTTTGTAAAGTGCCTGAGAGACTTACAAGAGCAGACATCTTATGGGTGGTTAAAATACGGGTCTAGAATGAACAGAAGATGCCATGGGTGAGAGTATCGATTTGGATTTTTTATCATATGCTTGCTGAAGAAGGCATAGAATGGATGTGTTCCCTTGTAAACAGAAAAGACAATGGGACAAGGTCCTACACTTTGACCTGTAGACCCTCAACATTCAAAGGGAGGGAAGAGAAGGGGAACATGCAAAGGGCACTGAGGTGGAATAGCCAGGGAAAGAGATATGGAAAAGCATGGGGGGAGTCTGATGGAGGGAAGGCAGCGGTGTTTTCAGGGAAGAGGAGGACTGAACTGTACCAGTGGACCTGAACACAGACACTGGCAGTGACCTTGGGAGGCTCTGGTTGGGTGGAATTACTGGCACAGAAACGAGATGGGAATAGTATAAAAGAGAAACACAGGAAACAGAACTGGGTATACTATGCACAGAAAATCATCTGAGGAAGATATTTTTTAAAGTGGAGTTGAGAAATAAATTGACACCTGGATGAGAATGTTAACATTTTCATGCATTTTTCCATGGTTTCTGAGAATAATTTTCAAAGAATGGACTAAATGGAATAAACTTTTGAAATTTTTTTTTAAAAAAACTGATGTCTGGTTTAACAAATAAACAAGTGTATGTTATTTAAGTTGTACAAGTATATCTTGTGTCACGATTCCCACTACCAAGGTAATTAGCATATTCATAACCTGACATAGTTATTGAATTTTTGGGTGGGAGATGAAGAGTCAAGATAAACTTCCATAGCAAATTTTAAGTGTCCAAAGCATTGTTATTAATCATATTTACCACAAGTATTGGATATTTTTAATATTTGATTTAAGTTGTCATTCACTTAAGTGCTGTTTAAAATTTAATTTATTTATTTGGAAATAGTAATTATTTATCAAAACAGTGATTCATCATTGTTCTAATTAATATTGCTTTGTAGTAAATTTCATTAGTACCCTATTTGCTTGCTAATTTCAGTTCTTTATTTGACTTTATCTGTTAACTCCAGCTTTATGTTTGTCATTTACATCACTTATTTAAAATTTCTTCATTTCTTTTCTTTTTTAAAATTATTTGACAGATAGAGTTAGACAGTGAGAGAAAGAGACAAAGAGAAAGGTCTTCTTTTCGTTGGTTCACCCCTCAAATGGCCTCTACGGCCAGAACTATGCTGATCTGAAGCCAGGAGCCAGATGCTTCCTCCTGGTCTCCCATGCAGGTGCAGGGGCCCAAGCACTTGGGCCATCCTCCGTTGCCTTCCTGGGCCACATCAGAGAGCTGGACTGGAAGAGGAGCAACCAGGACTAGAATCCGGTGCCCACATGGGATGCCGGCACTGCAGGCGGAGGATTATCAAATTGAGCTACAGCACTGGCCCCTAAAATTTCTTCATTTCTAATCATTGCATATTTTCTGAAATTATAGTTACATTCCTTTGAAGGACATTTGTTTTTTATTTCACCTGTGCACAAAAAGCTGAACTGTTCTCTGTATATTTCTCTAGGCATTGTCTAGGACATATAACCACACCTTTCTCTAGTCAATTGGCTCTTTTTATTAATAAGTTTATTTTCTTGTATATCAATTTGTAAATTTAATTCTATATTCCATCAGCATTCTAAAAATGTATTATATGAAAATTTACCTTGTTTTGGGGTGCTAATTTTCCTAGGACCTCTTATTGCAATTTAATTTCCTTCCTTATTAACAACATATACATATTTACCAGGAATCAAATGAATTTTAATAAGATTACTATTTTGAAATTATTTGCCATACTGATCTTATTTCTTTTTTCCATCTTTTAAAGAATTGATTTTACATTTATATCACACAACATGTTTTAAACACTGACATATTAACTCCCTAATAAGAGAAAGAGTTTATTTTATTAGAAACAAGATACACAACTTAGTCTTCAAACATTATTGCACTTTTAACTTTCATAATTCAAAAAAGAATTCATGAAATTATTGGGAGACTACTTTTAACAGACAAATAACGCCTTTAAGCAGTTGACTGTCCTAAATGATTTATTAGATATGAGTTTTACAAGTGGTATTTGTCCCTTAAGGGGGCCTTAATAGGTGTTGATAGGTGTTCACCTTGATAGGTGACAACTAACTGAGCACCAAAAAGGAAACCTGTTAAAGTGAAATGAACACTATGAGAAATGGTGACTTGATCAGCCCTCTCCCTGACTGTTGATGAGCAACTTGATATGTTATCCCTCTTAGTATTTTTTTTTGTTTGTTCTACTTAATACTTTCGGTTGAATACTGTAATCAATACACAATTCTTCTTAAGTGCTGAAACTTAACTGAAAAGTGATCACTGTTAAATATAAGAGTGGGAATAACAGAGGGAAGAGATGTGCAATTCGGGACATGCTCAAGCTGACTTACCTCAAACGGTAGAGTTAGAAACATACCAGGGGATTCCAATTCAATCCCATATCCCATCAAGGTGGCATGTACCAATGCCATCTCACTAGTCCCAGTGATCAATTTCTGTTCACAATTGATCATAATGATAGGACTAAGAACCAAAGGGATCACATAAACAAGAATAGTGTCTACAAATACTAGCTGATAGAATAAAAAAGGGAGAGAATGATCCAACATGGGAAGTGAGATACACAGCAGACCCATAGAATGGCAGATGTCCTAAACAGCACTCTGGCCTCAGAATCAGCCCTTAAGGCACGCGGATCTGGCTGAAAAGTCCATGAGAGTATTTCAGGCGTGGAAAGCCAAGACACTCTGGGGAAAAAAAAAAAACCTGAATGAAAGATCTCCGCATGTGAGATCCCAGTGGAAAGAACGGGTCATCAAAGAAGGAGGTACCTTTCTCTGAAGGGAGGAGAGAACTTCCACTTTGACCATGGCCTTGTCTAAATATGATCAGAGTCAGTGAACTCAGGGGGCTTCCATAGCCTTGGCAGCTCATGACAAGAGCCTAGGGTGATTACTGATGCCATAAACGAGAGTGTCAATTTGTTAAGTCAACAACAGGAGTCACTGTGCACTTACTCCTCATGTAGGATCTTTGTCCTTAGTGTGCTGTACATTGAGATTTAATGCTATAACTAGTACTCAAACAGTATTTTTCACTTTATGTTTCTGTGTGGGAGCAAACTGTTGAAATCTTTACTTAATGTATGCTAAACTGATCTTCTGTATATAAAGAGAATCGAAAATGAATCTTGATGTGAATGGAAGGGGAGAGGGAGTGGGAAAGGGGAGGGTTGCGGGTAGGTGGGATGTCATGGGGGGAAGCCATTGTAATCCATATTCTGTACTTTGGAAATCTATATTCATTAAATAAAAGTTTAAAAAATAAAAATAAATAAAAATTAAAAAAAAGATATGAGTTTTACAAACATTACTTGAGTTAGCGGTAACAGTGCAGCTGGGAGCTATCGGGCCTTCTCCAGGATGCACAACAAAAACCTCAACAGTGTGGTGGAACTTGTGCCTTTCCAAGCCTAGGGATGTCAGCCCACACATTTCCCTGTGCTTGTGGACTGGTTTGGTGATCCACTTAGTGTCAGGATTTCCTCTGGTAGCTTTATGGAATGGATCAATGAGGATAACCTCAAAGAATTTGTAAGCAGAATCTTCACCAACCCAGGATGAATTTAGGACTCAGCGCTCCACAGTGGCACCCAGCTCGTTCCTCAACCACAGACTGAAGGCTTTGTGAAAACTGTAGCTGGTTAACACCATGATGGACAGGCTTGCCATAGGTTGCAGCCTTAGGAACTGGGCGCTTACATCCACCACAGCTTACACAAATCCTGTATGTGACATTG